AATCCTTCATAGGTGAAAATGCCTGACCATAGAACTCACAAACAAAAGTTTTGCATATACCAACTTTGTTGTTTGTGAGTGTATTCTTAATTTTTCCTTACAGTATGCAAAAATCCTATTGCAATAATAAACAAGTTTCCAAAATTCTTTTTTTTTTGCACTGCTCTGACCCTTTTACAAAATTAGCTAAAAATGTCAAAAGTATATTTTTCAGTCTGTGCACTGATCATGCATTCCAACTTCAGTTCCGTTGTTTAAATAACTTCTTTTAGTCTTTTTTTTTGCAAGCCTTGAAAGCACCGAAAAAGAAAGAAAGGAAGGAAGAAAGAAAGAAAGCAAGGAAAGAGAACAGCCTTGGAGATGACTGGATGACCCCTGACTCCCCTTGTAGCTGTGTGACATTTGTTTCTGTTTTTTTTTCTTTTTCTTTTCAGATTCGGAGCACAGTAAACATCATGAAAGTTCGGAGTTCATTCTTCATCAGGCCTTGTGCACCTCGGCTTGTTGCAAGGGGGCGGGCACAGCATGGGGCGCCAGAGCTCCCCGCTTCATCACATTCAGTAACAGGCCAGCTGTCGCCCTCTTCAGAAGTGGTCAATAAGCACGGACACACAGTTTGCGCCCACCAGGTAGTTTGGATCTCCAGGGAGGGATTTGTTCTGCCAGGTTTTAGGATCACCTGCAAGTGACAAGAGGCAGGATGATGACATCAGCCAACAGACAAACTGGAGTCCTGAAACACCAGGACAAATACCAAGAGTCCATTAAGAGTAACATATATAGTCTGCTAATTTTTGTTTTGTAAAATTGGACACAAAATAATTCAAAAGCAACACTACTGTCTGGTCACATTGGCATGAATACACATAATAATGTAACATTTGTACTGTTTTTTTCTTCTGATGTTGGTGAATTAACTTTTAACAGTAACTTGATCAGGAACAAATACACCCAAATAGTATGCTGCCATGGCAGGGCTTTTTTCCTGGACTGTATTATATCACAGATAAATACATTGACAACATGCTCACAATAAAGAAGGCACACAAACAAATGACCATTAAAAGGAAGATCAAAATCAAATGAACTAATCTAAACCAGAATTTTTGGACAGAGGATGTTATTTTACAGATTAAGTAGCTTTGCTGACAATTCAGATAACTGTCACGAACTGGAGAAATTGGTGAGATTACATAATTATATGTGTAACCCAGGATTATGTTTGAATTGACTGTTCTGGGATTATAATAAAATAAATGAATAAAACATGCTTTACTGCTTTGATCTGAGTTAGACTTTAACCCCTCACTACATCTAAACTATAAACTTCACTGACTAGAATAAGAGTGAATTAAAGTTCTGTCCTGGTTCGGAGGAAGCTCCACATCATGGAAGTCTTGGTTGTTAGTTGCAAGTCTTCTTTAATAGAATTGTAATTATATGAATTATAATTAGTTCAGAGACACAGGCATGAAACCTAATGCTCTGATCCATTAGTTATCTGGAGCTGGTGAACATCAGCACAGGTGTCTGTCACTCTCTGTGGTGACCTGCTACACATGACATATGTCATAGTGTTGGGATTTTGAATTTCACCTAAATTAAATCATAGTTAACAGAACAGTACAAAGAAAGACAAATATATTGAGTATTTACTGACACTGAATAAAAAGTAGCTTTTCACTTTAAACGATGGAGTTTCTCAAACAACTCCTGAATAAACAGCTGCGACCGTTTCAGATTCATGGTCTACAGTCCTGGTAAGGACATCTATATAAGTTAAAGAGGTGGCACCAGTCATTTTAAACTCACTATTATAAATACCAAAACCAGTTTTGGAGTAGTTGGATTTTATGTGGCAGATAAAAAAAAACAAGAGTACATGCAAGGAAATAAAGAAATAGGAAAAAAGGAAAGACGGTCTAACGGAAATTAGACACCAACAGTCACCAGTGGACACCACAGACAGCCTACAGACCCAAAAGGACAGAGAGGGGACAGCATACCCGACGAAGAGTCGGAGGATTTTAGAGCAAAAGACCAACCATCAGGGGTCATGGACGCACAGTGAGGTAAGCGCAGCTCCACTGGCTTCAAGAACTTGAGTCCATGAGGGCCACACATCACCAGTGGACTTAGCAGCGTTTCTCCTGCACAGACACACACTTCTTTTTTTACAAAAAGTCACAAATCAAATACTCAACTGGTAAAACAGATGTGGTAAAAATCTCCAAGGAACATGTACTGATATGCTAAAGGTCCAAGAACCAAAGTTCACACATGTATTTTATTTAGATTACATTTCCGTAACTCTCAGTGTTAATGTTAACACTACTCACTGAAACACTGGTGACACTTCAACATATTTTGCTTTTGTCTTCTGCTGTTGTAAGAGAGTTAGACTGAACAGTTCAGAATGTTTCCTTTTCCCCCTTTGACATATCTCTGACGCTAATTCACCCAGAGCTGCTGCCCAGCACTAACCTTTCTCCTTGTCGAGGGGGGGTAAGATGCTGTTGTCCCGACACACCTTGAAGTAAATCTCCTGCTCCACGTTCTCAGGAATGGCGCCCTGGGGGATGATGATGCTGACGCCTGTTTCTATAGAGCTCAGAACGCCCCCGTTACAGTTGAAGATCCCCCGCGCTGTTGCCACCACTGTGTGCCCTTCATCTTCATCATCATTGTCCAGTGCGCCAGGGCTGAGGATCACAAGTTTACCACATCAGTCACATTGTAAAGAAAAGTAACCTCTGAGAACACAAGGACACATTGTTATCATTGTCATTCTGCAGCTCGCGGTTGACCCCGAATGACCCCTAGAATGTAAATCAATGAGCTCGTCTTTACCTGACAGGGATGGCCTTGGGGATGGCGTTAATGTTATTGTGCTGGTATTTGGGCCTGTTGTCTATAGTGCGTGTGAAGGTATCCAGGCCACTGTCGTGATCCAGGGGCTGTGGTGACAACTGAGGCTTCCCACTGCTGCTGCCCAGAACACTGGGCTTGGGGAGGAGGTCTGTCTTCATTTGTGTGTCATTAGGCAGCAGGTTGTGGTTGAACTTGGGGCTCTCAAACTTGCGCTCAAAAGGGCGTGCTGAGCTGGTGTAAGGCTTGGGGACGTAGCGGTTGTAGCCTGTTGGAGCCGGAGCGCAAAGAGTCTTTGGGGGTGCCACATCAGTGCCGTTGACTGGGGATTTGTCGGGGAGGCCCCTTGGGGGCAGGTAGCCAAGTGGTGCGGATTCATCCCTGCTGGTCGGCCTCAGTGCTGGAAGCTCAGGTTTTGGATTGGGAGAGGTCAACGGTTCAGCTATAGAGTTAGCTAGAAATGCAAAGAGGAGGACACAACCATTTCATTATCAGCTGTCCTTGGAACAACAAACACTCCCACACTCTGACTGTACAAACTCATCTGACCCTGAGACAGTGCTACAACATTAACAGGTGTAGTAATTCTGGCTGCCTAAAGAACAAAGTGGGATTTTTTTTGTTGGCGATCGAAACCTTTTATCCATTTCCACTTGACCAGATCATAGATCACTCCTGCCTCAGAAGCAGAGAGCAGAGAGTCCTGGATTCGATTCCTAGGGGAACATGCCTGATTGTTTATCCTTCTCTTATGAGTCCCTTTGGATAAAAGCATAAATGTAGGTAAATTAAATGTTATTTGTTGAGTTATTATTAACCAATGATCTGAACAGTTTTGATGTCAGAGGAACGAAAGCGTAGCACAAAACATCTTGGTGTGACCATAATAAACACACTCTTTGGTGTTTTTCAAAAATATTTGTTTTGAATTATGCAGCAATAGAGACACTCCTGAATCAGTTTCAACTGGATGGAGATTTGACGGTGTTTAAAGAATGAACAGAACATATAAGAGTTCACCTTCATTAGGACTGTGTTTAGGCAGTGCATTGGGAAGCATGGAGGGGGCTGGAGGTCCATACTGGGAAGAGGGGCTGATCTGGTGCATGGGCTCGTACCTCTTCTCCACCGGACTCACCTTCTCTACCGACTCAACTCTGCAACCGAAGAGGGCAGTTACTCATACTTAATTATTAGGGGTATCAAAACAGCATTCTGGGGATTGGGCCGTGTGGTAGTACCTGCTGTATGGGAAGGACAGTTGAGCTGGTTTGGGCAGATCATGAAAGCGGTTCATGCCAGGGAGGGGCTGGCCCATGGCCTTGCTGTCAAAGCTTCTGCGGTCAAAGTAGGACAACTGCTTCCTATAGTACTCCTCATCCTCATCTGGGTCATAGTGGTTGGTGCGCATGACATCATCTGAGGGTTTGACGTGAGGCTTCTGTGGCTCAGGAGCCCTGCAGAGGAAACGGACATCCACAGAAATGACTCCAGTGTGTTTAGATTCCAGGTTTTTTAGAACATATCAAACTTCACCTGCAAAGTAAGATAACTCCACTAGATGGTGCTGAAACAGTAGGTCTTTACTCCCTTGAAGGGTTCCACTTAATTCCTTTGCTTTGTGTGTTGTAAGAAGAACTACTAACCTGTAGGTAGACTTCTCTTGTTCCAGGTTGCTAAGGGAGTTGGCTTTGGGGACGGGGCCCGGTGTCGTCACAGGTTTAGGAACATCTGGAGGCTAAAAAAGAACAAAGATCAAACATTTTACACCTATCATCTCATCAAGATCTGCACTATTTTATTTTCCATTTCCTCATCTATTCTTTTTGTACACTGACATTTTTTTTTCAATCCTGTGTGACCAGAACCTACCCTGAGTACTGACTCTCCACTTTCTTTAGCCCTGTCCATAGAAACAGACCGTTTGTTCTCAAACATCTTGACTCTGTTGAGCACTGACTGTGGTTTCATGGCTGGGTCCTCATCCAGATCGTCCCTTGGCACAGAGGGTTGGGGTTTGCAGCCAGGACTGATCACAGGTTCACCTAGAGGGGGTAGGGCTTCTAGTTTGGGAGAGGGAATGGGGGGTTCAGAATTTAACATCTGCTCGTGCATCCCTGCCTTATAGCCCCGGTTCGGAGGTCCAGGAATGTAGGTGGGCCTCAAACCAGAGTCTCCATAGTACTGTTTTGGAGGCTCTGGTGATCGAGGTGAGTTGATGGGGAAGCTATGTTCTGCCTCATAGGGAGAGCGAGCATCATAGTTTACTGGTGGAGGGGGCGGGGGTTCATCATAACGAATAGGCCCTGGTTTACTGTGGCGTGGTCGGCCGTCATATCCCACTGGTGAGGCCTCATCGTAACGTGGCTGAGGAGGGCTGTAGTCCCTCCCTTGTCCATCCTCATAGGAGGGCTGAGGGTTGTAGCCCATGGGTTGCTGGTGGCCGGTCTGGTAACCTGTGGGCTGGGAGGATGAGGTCTGCTGGTCATAGTGGGGCCACTGTTCGTTGTAATGAGGCACACGGTTGTCGTAGTGCAGATGAGAGTCAGTGTTGTGAGGCTTTGGTTCTGTGTAGCCGCCTCCATCATAACCATAAGGCGGGTGGTCATAATCACGGTATGGCTGTTTGTCCTGGTACTGCAGCTGGTGACTGTAGCTCAATGACGGCTTCATGCCGTGGTTGATCCTGACAGGCTCCTCCATATTGTACAGCTCTTTCTTGTACATCTGTAAGGAAATAAGACTAAAATAAATACATGTTCCATATTGACATTTAAAGCTTAAAAGGGACATAAAAAGCATCAGTACTTCATTAAGCCAAACTTAGGGAGTTTGAGGTGAAAATATAACATGTGAAGTAGGGTAAAAAATTAGGTAACAAATACTTAAACAAACACACAGAGTAAAAATGCAATTACACAAGCAAACCGTAATCCATTAATTCAAAGAGACCTGAATGTCTGTTTGATAAGATGCCTTTCAAGAATGGTAATCCTTCTACTTATAGAAACCCAACTGGATTTACTTGTCATTACAATAATTTTCACACTTATTTGTGGTGAAGCAACACGAAAAGTGCACATTTCTGAAAGGCCTCATTTCAAACATATGATGTGTAGCCTGTAGACAGCAAATCCACTTACAGTACATTCTATTGAAGCCGTTCGTTTGTTGGTATCTACGAGAGAACTATAAGGAGACGGCATAATGCAGTGTGCTGATGGATGTTTTATTGTTTTGGGGGGGGGTTCTACAGGGAGAAGTGATCGATGGAATCTTGTCCAACAGTACTGTCTGCAGGTTAGCTTTCATCATGCAACCAACATTCAGTTTTTGTCTAATGCAACTACTGGCACTACAACAGACGACACATCTACCACTATGATGCCACTGTAAGTGCCACGATAGCTTATCTACGGAGGAAAGTCGAAGCCGAGTTGAACCCAAAAACATAAGGAGCCATGCAAAGGAGGTAAGAGCCGACAATTAAGGCTGCTTGTGGATATCTTCATCCTGGTCAAAGATGTACTAGTCCTTCTGGTCTCCCAGCTCACTGTGGTGCATGAGGTCGCACTTTTTCTCTGGGAGCCAGAGGCACACGGTGGGATCGGTGAGTAACACAGTGTGGGCGTTTCATGCAGAGAGCGAGTAGAAAGCATGTGCGAGAAGACAGGCAGTTAAAACAGTGGGCTGGGGCCCAGGCCCAGTCCAGTACAGCCGGTACCTTTGGTTCTGGACCAGAGGGTCCAGATGGGTGGGGTTCGTGTAGTGGTGGTGGCGGAGGTGGTGGTGGGGGCTGATTAAGCTCAGGGGCAGGGCTGGGGCTGTTTATTGAGTCAGCCTGAGGGGCTGCGGCTGCAGCAGGAGGCTCCTCTAGGTGCATACTCTCTAGCTGTACAGGCTGCTCAACGGCAGGGGGCGTTACCACTGTCGGAGGCAATGAGGGCATGGGCAGAGCAGCCTCATCTTGCTGTGAAGTATTGTTAAGAGACATTTATAAAGAGCCTGCCAAAGGCACACAAAACATAGCTCACCCCAACACCATGACCTTCTTCCTTACTCTGATTCAGTTCTACAGCTGCCACAGACTGCACTTAGGAAATGCGTTTCAAATAGATAGCCTACCAGTAGCTTCTAGAACATGTTTATTACTGGGCAAAGGACATTTAATCTAAACAAAGGTCAGGACATGACAAAGAAGACAAAGGAGGCTATACATTTGACCATACATTACTAAAAACAAAGCCCACAGAGGACGGCCTGCAAAGGCAGAAATGTACTTCACCTGCTGCGGCGTGGCCATTTTGAACCCAGCAGGATCAATGCGACTCGGTGGGTCTGGCTGGACAGGGTGCTGGTATCCAGGGTAACCAGGGGTGTCCTGGATGACTGGAGGGTCTTCCCTCACAGGCTCTGAAGAACGGGTTATGGCAGGCTCTGTGGGCAAACCCACTTCATCATTCAGAGTCTCATCCAGCTCTTGGTCTGTGTAGGCTCCGCCTTCTGTGTCTGTGTCTTCATAGTCAGACGTGTGGCGGCTGTCAGTGCTGTACATGGAGTATTCACTGCCAGGTGCTGACAGGTAGGACAGACGGTCATCGTGGATGTCCAAGTCATCCTCTGTGGTACCATCCGCCTGAGCAGAGAAACGGTCACCTCATGCCAAACTACCAGCACAAATATCAATGCTATTCAGTGTAGTGGTTTAGAACAGACTGGATATGTTTTCCTTACCTTGCCTTCTGAGACCCACACCAACTGGTTCTGCTGCTGCTGAATAGTTTCTTTCAGAGCTCCGTACCAGCCGTCATTCATATTATTTAGGTTGATGGTGGCTATAAAGAGAATATTTGCATTTAATTCGTTTTTTCATCATCACTTAAATGAACAAAAAGTAATCTGTCCTATTTTCAGGAATCAACATCACTCATACACTTCACTGCATGTAGGTAAAACGTAATTTTGTAACATGTATTTGGTAGCAACACTTTAAGTTTAAGAAATACTTATGGCGCCCTCTGCTGGAGCAGGTAAAGACAGGCTGAGGTGTACTGAAAAATGTTGAACCCTTCACTGTATTATTGCTTAAATACAAAAAAAAAAAAATACAGCCGTACCAGAGAGAGTGTATATTTCTAGAAGAGTCAGTTTTAATTGTATGCACACTCACTGGTGAACAGGTGGTGATTGTTCTTCCTCAGTTTGATGGCCCGCTCATACAGCTTCCTGGCACTTTTCCTGGACTCAGGACACAGTCTGGTCCTCATGTTCTTCACACCCTGCTTATTATCTGGATTTAAGAAGACTACAATTGGATACCACTGAGCATAGTTCAGCCTGTCCACAGCATTTGGGGTAATGTCCAGCACAGCGTGTTTGTCCTTCATGGAAAATAGAGAGAAAGGTTGAAATGTAGAGAGTTCCACCCTGTGCTAAAATGACCCAATGACTCTTGAGAATTCACACTCACTCTGTCAATGATCTGCTTAATGGTGTGAAGACGAATGATTCCTGAACTACGCTGATCTGTTCCTGCATCTCTTGGTTCACTCTCTGAAAATATCAAGACAGAAAAAAATAGGATTTATTGAACTTTTGTCCACATAAATATGAAGTATTGTGCATGAGAAGTAAAACATACTTGCAAGCTCAAAAATATCGGGCTCTTCTCTGGAGAGTTTTTCTCGAGCAACATCAGCAATGGGACCAAAAATTACAACGGGCCTCAGGAAACCAGCTGCACAAAATAAATTAATGAATACATAAAAAGTCTTTTGACAGGTTTTATGTCTTTGCAGACTTGGTTAGAATGCATACCTTCTCTTAATACAACTCTTTCGTAAGCTGGAAACTTTGTTTGTACTGGCTGGGAGGAGAGGTCTTCTCTACTTTTTCTCAGGTTCCTCTTTGAGCTGCGAAGGCCACGGAACCTCCAAAAGTCGGCCCTGTCGCCCCCTGCTGTCTTGGGGAGGGTGTATTGCACGCTGGAGAGCTGCTCGGCTCTGTAGAAAAAGCAATACGAAATGTAATTAATGCTTAGATTTGACACAGACACTGATAGGGCATAACACTGAAAATTATTACAAATGTATTACAAACACGTGAACAAGCCATGCAATCATTGTATGTTTGGATTCGTTCACCTGTTCTTATTGGGAATAATTCCTCTTTCCACCTCTTGATGATTCTTGCCAATTCGAATGGCAAGCCAGGATCCAAGCTTGCCGTTGTAGAGTGTGTCCACCACACGAAAAACCTCACCCTTGTTAAAGCTCAGCCCATACGGAGACTCTTTTTCGTACTCAAAGTGGGTCCGGATGTAGAAGGAGTCGCCCACATCAGACTCAACGATCCGCCGATACACTTAACAGCAAAGGATAAGTGAGTTCAAAGGCAGATATTCATGTTTGTTTTTTTCACTTTTCATTACTCACCATCCTTCTTTTTCTGTGCCAAAATAGTGACTTCTTCGCCCTTAGGAAGGTCCAGGAGGAACAGCACCGCCTCCTCTCGGATTATGTTTGCAAAATCTACATTGTTTACCTGAATTTAAAAAACAAAAAGATAATGGTTTTGTAAAGATTACTGTTACTTTGAGGTATTTAGAGAAGTTTTTGACTTTTAGAAGAATGAATGACTGAAATGTAAATTTCTATTTAAGTAAAGGTTTACATAGCTCTCCCTGTTTTCTGTATTGCCTTGGTAACAGCAGGTTTTACTGCACTCCAAATGCTCCAGTCATTTGTCAGTTTATTTGGATAAAAGAGGAGGAGTAGGTACAAACAGGGAAATATACGACAGAGAGGAAGTGGAACAAACAAAACCAGAGGTGACAGTTTTTATAGTGTGTGTTCTTTCAGGGCCATCGCTAAGAGATGAGTCTGGAGCTGCTGGAATTTCCATGGCAGCTAAAGTCTGAAAGCTTGAATAAAAGAAGAAGTGTGATAGAGTTCAGCCTTTTAAACAGGACTGTCTGGTTCTCTCTGAGTTTCCAGACTGTTCCACATTCTAAATCATTTTCTAATTTTTACCAGCCATGATATTAAAATGCCATGACTGGTTTTCAGATGAGCTCATAGGCTTTGTTTAATGGGGATAAAGCGGCTCACCCTGAGAATTTGGTCACCCTCCTCCAGGCCCTCCTTTGCTGCCGGGCTATCTTCCAGCACTCCAGCTACAAAGATGCCAACGTCATTCCCTCCAGCCAGACGCAGTCCAACACTCTCCCCCTTCTTGAACTTCACCAGCTTCATGCTCGGCCTGAGGAGATCACATGGTGGAATTTCCTTGGTAAGAATATTAACTTAGTGGAACGTGAAAGATACAATTTTGTAAAAAATGTTTCAGTGGAAGATCAGGTGTTGTGGTTACACATTTGCCTATTACAACATGTTTCAGTCCAAGCATGTAAATGAATACAGTTATCATTAAAACACAGGTTATATATAGTTGATTACTGTGGTCTTACAAACACATTGTGATCCAATATGATGGTCCTCTCAATAAGGAGAAGACATATTTTTAAAAAAAAATGTCAAGTGACCCTACCAGTAGAAATTAAATAATGTAATTTGACAATTTATTTTTATTTACTGCATCGAAACAGGTATATTACTACAATTTCTTTACATCTCCATTCTTTGTATTCATAAAATTCAAAGATAGTTTATTTTTATGTCACCCTGGTAAATTCAAAGCAGAAGTTTAGTTAGTTATATAAAGCATAAAAATGTCTACCTACACAAACAAAACGTCTTGACTGGGCTAACGTACCCTACTGACACACATTAATTCATGCGTCGTAAACTCTTGTTACCGTAGGATGCTGTCATCATGAGCAGCACTTGGCACAGGGGCATCAGAGGGACTGACCGGCAAGTCGACATCTGGCTGTCCAGGCTGAGCGTACACTGGTTTGGGCTCTACCAAACACAGGGAAAGACGAAACAATGTTGGTAATTCAGGACGACAGAAGTTATAAAACAGCCCACCGAATGTGTTGAAACAAAGAGACATTCCCTCAGACTCTGTCACAACATAATACAGCAGATCCTCATCACTCTCTGACAGTGTGTGTGTACACACACTGAAATGCACAGCACATATTCCTGCGCAGAGAGGTCAAACAGAACCACCACCAGAGTGCTGGTGGCTGGGGAAGAATGTCAGACTCTATCAAATCATAAAGTTTATTTTCACTTGGCTCCAGGCAACTGAGCCAAGCTCAGCAGGCGGTCAGATTCAACCTTTTTTGGTCACTGAGCTTTAAAAAGGGCAAAAATGACAGGGACAAAGGAGACTTCAGCTCACTATCTCGAAACTATTTATTCATTCTGCTGCAAATAAATGTCAGAAAAATTAATGTTGGCTAATTTGCCAACTAATCTCATGAGTGTGGACGTGTGCCAGATTATAAGTGTGATTGGTTTATATTTAGAGGAATACAAAATGACCTGCCTTTATGAATGATGTTTGTTTCTCTGACCTGGGAGTGGTGGCAGCTGTTTATCCTCTCTGACTGAATCCTTAGGTTTGGGTAAAGGAACATCCTCTGCTATTTTCGCTGGTGTAGATGCTGCCTTGGAGACCCGTTCATCATCACGACTTCTGTGACTGCAGACAAAAACAGATATTTGTTTTACTGCATCTATTTATTGACGGCTAAACAGAACATCATCAATAATGTGTTTTTAAGCAGAATTAGAGCTTTGGGCTATTTCAAAACTTTGAGGCACTTTCTAACTTCTTGACTACAGTCAAGAAAAATATGGCTAACTCTAGTTTAATGGAATTCTATCCTCCTGGCTGCAATGAACAATTACTGCAGAGAAAGGTGAACAGCTTGAGTGTGAAGCTGTGTCTTAGTCTGGAAGGTCAACACTTTGTCTCTCCAGTGTTCAATGAATTATTTTTAGATCACCTTATCTAAGGTGAACAATAAGGGTGGCTCCTGTCCTGCGGGTACAACTCACTGCGGCTCAGACTATAACTGAGATAACGCTACCTTGAACAACAAGAGCAGGCTCAACTGTACAAAGTGACATCTGAAGTGTACTGGTCAGTCAAAGGTATATTTTAGAATCAATCACTTCCATAAAGAGTTTAAGTATGCTCAGAGAAACCTGTGCAGTGTTCTATAACCACTGACAGTGTTTCAATTTGGAAAAGATTTACACCAATAACAATAAACAAATAACAAGCGTGTACAGTGTGTGTACTCATAATGGGTAGAAATGACTATTTTACATAACTATTAATATATATATATTGAAATGAATACAAGAAAAACACACCCAATATGTTATTCTGCTCACTTTCTGTTAAGCTGCCTGTGTCATCTATGACATTTAATTTATCTTTATTTTTACTATTATTTTGTTTGAGAAATACAACTTTGTACCGATATCAACAGAAAACAAAGCCAGATGACTGATAACTGTCAGTGGCAGTCTTTTGTTCCTTCATTCTAACAGTCATATTGTCCTTGTGCCAAGCATGTGGTTTGTCTACCAAAACTCTGAGGAGGCAGAGATCAGGTAACACTTTCACTGTCCTCTGTTACCTCAAGACAAAACGTCAGCTGTCACTGGATAAGTGATGTCATGTAAGGTCATTTTAGTGACAAATGAGATTAAGTTTTCTATTTTTCCAGACTTTTACAAGCAGTTTTTCCAAAAAACAAACAAACAAAAAACCATCTACTGATCTACCTGTGTCTATTTTGGAATATCTACAACTATCAGTCCTACTGTCTCACTAGGGATACTGACTAATTGCTTACGGTATTCTCCAGCTGGTGACATTTAAAAAGAAGAGAGTTGACAAACATTTAACGTGCATGCAAATATGTGATTACTGACAGCTTTTAGTAAAGCAACTATTGTTTTTGCCTAAAGGTTCTTGAGTTTAGAGATCACTGACATAATGCTGTGATTTTCACTTTTGAAAAAAAAATATCTGGCCTATTTTGCTAAATATAATGAATTATAAGAATATAAGTTAGTACATTTTTTAGAATAATATTTTTTTTTACCTTAATAACTTTGTTATTAATAGTAAAGTAAAACAATAGCAGAATAGATTTCTATTGATGTGAACCTTATTTTATGCACGATGAAAACTGAGCACACGGAGAATTGGTCACAGATATTCTCTACCTGCCGTTGCTGATTTGAGGGGGTGAGTGTCTGGAGTGATCCGACGGTTCCGATCGTCTGTCTGGAGAGCGCGACCGGCTGCTACGATGTCTGTCGTGTGATCGATTGGAATGGTCGGATGCCAAAGAATGAATATCTGAAATGTCTGATCAAAGCAGAGGTCGCAGGTCACCGTCTGCTGTCGCAAATACTCCCGGACAGCTTCTACTGTGGCCACTTATCTACAGGATTCAACATTTGACACCACTCTCACCGTCTCTGTCAGAGGCGTTTGCTGAAGGAATGCTGTCTTCGAGGTCAGGGATGTTCGGCAGGGTTGCCCTGTCGTCCCTCTGCACCACCATTTTTAGCTTGCCCTTTGACCTTTCTATCAGCTTCTTGGCATCTATCAGGGAGAGGTTCTCGGTCACTGTGCCATTGATCTGGGTTTATTACAAGGGAAAGGAGTAGTTAGGAGTAGTTAAATTAAATCACAAATTAAACAGTCAATAGAAATGTACACAATTAACATATATAAATAAAAAAGACATTTATTTAAATATATACAATGATATATGTGACAGTGGATTATTTAATCAGGCAATATTTATCAGACTATTGAGCTGAAACAAAAGCTTGTCCAGACAAGTCTCTGATTCAAAAAAATCTATAAGGAAAAAACAATGATGCTTGCAATAGTACAAGAACAAGTAAAACAGTCAGCCAGTCACTCACCTTCAGTACAACATCTCCTTCCTGGATGTTGCCGTCTCTTGCTGCCAGACTCTCAGGGGAAATGTCCTTGACAAAGATATGGCTGGCCAGGCGCAGGCCATATTCTGCTTACAAAGTGAACAGCGGCAAAGATGATGTTAGCACAGTGTGCACATAACCGGACTAACTGGCAGCCACTGCTCCCACTGGGATTAACACTACTGCTTAAAGAAGATGAATTACTCTCGTACAGAGATTTACTCAAGTTAACTTGGATTTTGCTGAGGCTGGCAAATCGTGTTTGTTTTGGCAGTTAACCAAGGCTGATACAGAAGTCCTATTGTATTTAGGAAGTCTACTCATCTAATAACGGCTGGGTCATTAATATCGGAGGGGATTTCGTGGATTAACTGTGGTTTAACAAACAACAAAACTCTCTGGTGGTCTCTTTTATCCCTGGGTTTGTGAGCCTCACCTTCATTTTTGCGGGATTTGACAAGTGTGACCTTGGCAGGGCGTGGAGGCTGATTGTGTGAGCGGCGGTCTGACCTCGGAGAGAGACTCCGCTCCCGTGAGACACTGCGCTCACGTTCCCTGTCCCTTCGCCCTGTACTCCGGCCACTGCGCCTGCCCATGGCCCCACCCATACCGCTGTAAGCACCACTGCGTCCACTTCGTGTCTCATATATCTCTTCATCGTAGCTGTCCTCCTCCTCATCATGCTCTGACATGGTTTCCCTCTCCCCAAGGCGACCCATGGGGACGTGAACCTTCCTCTTTCGCCTGATTGTCTGCCCGGGAAAAAAATAGGACTTGAAGCAGGTTTGACACACACTGTATTTTTTATTAATTAATTTTTCTGGTGACTGACAGGAAAACACTAATTTCAAGAGGACATCATACTAACTCTTTGATACTCACAATTTTGGCAATTTTTCCACTTTTACGAAGCTGCTGGACGGCATATGCATGCTCCACATTGTCCATGGAGACAGCATTGACCATAACCACTCTGTCATTTTCTCTATAGAAAAAAGATGGAAAAGGAATCAGCAAAATGTCTTTCTAAAGCATGTCGAGGTAATACTTAATATAATTAATAATAACAACTTGCAATCTGAGTGGCCGGAGCCAATAACAGTAAACATCTTACTGCAGCAGGCCTTCTGCTGGGCCTCCTTTCAGCACATCCGAAATAACAATGGACGTCTCGCCACTCTGAAAATGAGGGTTATCCCGACCTCCCGATATGGCAATCCCAAAGCCAAACCCCGGTGCCTGCACACAAACAGAGACTTTAGTACAGTGACTATCTCATCCCAGCAGACCTAAGAGAACTGGGGCCAGATATGGACTGAAGACAGGCACTGTGTGCTTACACTCTGTCTACACAGCCATGTACTAGTACTGTAACCCTTAAAGCTTTTAGAAAAGATGAAAACTTGACTGTTAACTCATATCTGTCTCAATAATATTTGTGGATCCATTGCATCAAGGTTTCTGGTGCATTTCAATACCCTAACAGCAGTTAGGGACAGTTAATGTTACCTAAAACATGAACTCATCTGGCCGTTTAAGGTGGGTCAGTGCAAGAGAAGAACTCCTGATGGTCACAGACATTCAGCACCAGTTTCTGCTCTGTTTTTTTTTTTTTTTTGTGTGGCAAAAAACATCTTCTGACCCCATTCATTTTTCACAATATAATTAACTGTGAAAGTTGACAGGACCAAATTATTTGCTATCTTGTGCAGAGAAACACCTAAATATTAATATTTGAGAACATGAGAACACTTTTACTCCACATTGGCATTCTGAAAAGCTCCAACATGAATCACATGCAAAATTTTTGCTGGCTTTACATTTTAGAGCATCCTCTCTGCATGTTTACTGATTCGTCAAGTTCAGCAGATTCCACAACTGTGCAGATTGAATTTCACTATAAACGATGTAGTTAATGTCTCCAGATTTAATTGCTATGATAATCTCTGCAGCATGGGAAAACATCCCTTTAAAAATTTACTCACTTCAGTTTTAATTGCTGACTTCACCTGAAATTATGCTAACATCACATCCAGGCAAAAAATAACGTAATTGCGATGATGACGTGTGTAGGTCCAATTTGCATTCATGAAAAAGCAACAGCAAAAGCCTCTTTCTAACCAGTCAGCTTGCAAAACAATCTAAGTCACAAAGAGCGATGATAAGTTCAAACACATCTTTACCTTTATAGATTTGTTACTGATAAATATTCAAGTTGTCACAAATATTCAATCTAAGTTATTGCAATAGTAGGAAGACTACACATTAGTACACACATTAACCTTTTAATGTGAGTTTTATGTGATCTGAGGTAAAACTGAATGTTTGCCCAGTACATTTTTTAATGATATTCTTTACTTAATTGAAGTAATATGAAATGAACTGATACTATATTTTCCTTTTTCCAACAACTCCTGCCCTGATGTCTGAGAGCAGAATAACAGACACACTGTGATCAGCTCTTCTGCCTCAACCTTGGACTGTGTCCACTTCATGTTTGCTCATAAATAATCCTGACATTCATAGCGGCAGAGCGGATAGTATGACAAGTGAATACAATAAATCCCCTAGGAGAAGTGCACTACATGTTTAACTGTCAGGTGCAATGTCAACAATAAGAAGAAAATAAATATTAGGAAGACTTAATTGAATGTGAAGACATTAATAGTGTCATTAAAGTAAAACATGATCCTTGCTTGCAGGTGATCTGCAAAACCTGAGTCAACAATAACTGCCCATGAGGGATGCATACCACGGTTATTTGTCACTTACAATCAACAGTACCAGCGATCAACTAGGTGTAGAAGTTTTTAGAGGCGTACAGTATACACAAACAGCCGAAAATACTGGCGATTCTAATCTCTAAAATAAAATGTTAAATGAAAGAATCTTAAGGAAGATCAAACCAGCGATCGCATAACCCAAGGCTACGATAGGCTGAATATTTACTTTCAAGTGTTATATAAAATAAAAGGCCTTGTTGCTAGATAGAGTGAAAAAACTATAGTACATGAAGAGGATCAGATCAGAGGTACCTACCCTGTGTAATGTAACTGTGTGCTGTTCCCAAATGACAGTCTCTTCCATTGCTGCGCTCTGGAAAAAAGAAATGTTATTTTAAAAAAGAAATTTAGTTGAAAAGGCAGAGTAAATTATAGACAGATGGTAACGTTGTATGGGCTCTCTGTGCAGGATGGTTTACTATGGAAACAATAGGTAAACATGATAAAGAGTTGAAAGAATCAGACATGAGTTTCTCTCTGCAGGTGAGATCTGATGAGAAGGCAAAATGTCACAACAACAGGAGAGAGCTGCACTCAGCGGGATGTTTAGTTATCTTCGATTTATGTTATTTATTTAGAGCAATACAAACAGCTTTGTGTCGTGCTCTCCCTAAAGTCAGGCTGCAGATGGAGCTTTCACATCATTTACCGTGCATTGAATTGCACCTTAACTGCTTCAAGTGTACAATCAGGAACTGCTGACAGTGAGGTTGATACTCAAGCACAAACATCAACAGCCAGTGCGGATTAAATGAAGGTCAACTCAATCAGGTTTTGGGTCAGCTCTGCTTCATTCTTATCTCATCTCTTCTACTGTATCATTGGGCCTCCACCAAAATGTTATGACACATTAGACAGCCAATGGCTGTGTATGAAATACTATCAGCTCAAATACTTAGAGGCAGAGGACGGCACACTTTAACACCTAGTGCAATAAACACATTTTGTTATATACATTATATATATATATATACTGTATATATATGCGTTTGTTCCTGTTTTTTCTTACATGAATTAACAACATTTGCACTAATTACTTGCGGGGTTGTGTCCTAGATCTAAATTGGGATATTAAAACAGCTTATTGCTTGACTGTGTTTTTTTAAAACAGCTTATTGCTTGACTGTGTTGTTTTTTTCTGTTGCTAGATGCCACCTCTGGTTTTTAGTTTGAATGCATTTTAAAATTCTATTTAAGTGCATGCCTCTCCAAAAAAAAAAAAAAGTAATCTTTGATACAAACATAACAGCAAGTGATGTAATGAGGTAGTGGTGTACAAAGTCTAAGCAGGGTTTATCCATGTTGTTCCCCTTATTGTTATTCAGTAAAACATGCAGACATACACCGTGCTGGAGGAGTGTACTTTTGTTTGCTGCTCCAGCAGAGCTTGTTGCTCTGGTAACAGAGGGGGAACAATGTGGTGTTGATCAACCGGCCTGACATATTCAGGCCGTGTCTGAGGGTTCCTATCAACTGTGCTTATATAAAGACAATGCTGATTTCATTTAAATATAAAAGCTTTTCATTTTAGATGAAAACGGTTTATTGTTGGCTATGATTTTAACATAATGGAGTTTGCACCAGTGGTACAAACCTGTGACCACTTTGTAACATGTGAAAACTGCCTAATAATAGAACCGAAATGACCTGTTTACGAAGCATTTGTGTGGGGTCTTAACCACCCCAAACATTTGAGTGTCTGCTTCAGAGCACAAGACACTAATCTCACCCACCATTAAAGAAAGAAGAAAGTTTCCCATAGTTTGATTTGAACTGTGGAGACTCATTCTGTACTGCTCCAGTGTACAATCTGTAGTAAAGTCATGTCAGCATCCAGTGACGGATGTGTTTTTTGGGCTTAGTTGTGTTTGCCCTTGTGGGCCATTAACATCTTGTGCCAACAGAGGCTTTATGCCACAAGCCAGTGCCAAGGCTGGCAGCATCCCTACAGAGGAGACACACCATGGACGTTGGGTCATGCTTGAGGGACTACAACCAGGCGATTGGGAGCCAACACAACATCACAGATGGACCATACCACAGACTGTGGAACAAGGACAGGAAAAGTGTAGTCTAAGGGCCCATCAGTGGAGTGACTATATGATAACAAACTGAGGGAGTTGCTCAAAAGGAGCATTCTAATGATCAGTAACAATACCCATGAGGGAAGATAAGCAATAAAGGAAATAATTTGGAACACTGGAAGTTTCCAAAATGTAAATTTTACCTGTGGTGGTTAGGTTACTATTACTTTATAATCATAAAGACGGTAAGTTCACCACTTTATATAATAAAAAATATTCTTCATATCCTATGAACTCAACTTTAGTCCTCACTACAGTAGCCCTAACATATTTTTAATAAGCACACAGTTGTCACAGCTCTTAAACAACACAATGCATGGTTTGTGTAGCACAAAACAATTCCCTGCTGAGGAGAATAACAAAATATATTTTTACAAAAGCAATATGTTTATTTTGAAAAAGAATATATTGTATGCTATTACTGTATATGGTTATAGGATGAGGCAGAAGTGCATATTCAATTTTGACCTCTTGGGAACAAACTTGCTAAATATAGCACTCATTAAGTCTGCTGTGGTGTTGCTGCAACATAGTTATTCATAGAAACTTGCAGCAAGAACACTCAGGAACATTTAATAACCTTTCAAATTAAATGAAACACATCCACCAAAACAAATGATGCAATGCAGGGAAAACAATATTCTTCTCCCACTCCTCCAGAAGAGGGTAGTAGAAATACAAGGGGAGACGATTTTCACAAATCACTTAAAAAAAACAAGATGTTGTAATGTTAGGGCTGTGATACATGTAAGACTGTTGCTAGATTTCGCTCGTTACTTTGAAATTCCAAAATCAGCTATGAATTCCAATCATTTGACATCATCACTACACTCTTATATATTATTGTTAAGATAATTTCTTATAAAATGAAATTCGGTGTTGAACATTTAATTATAATCAGCAATTATAAGTATAAGGCAATCTATAAGTATTCCTATTTTAAAAAAGAAAAATAATAAAATGAATAAAATGCATAGTGATATATCAAAACAGGCCAGTTTGCCAGCAATTGTCAATTTGATAAATCCAAACAAGCACACTTCAACCACAGTGTTCAAGTTGCACTGCGGTCAGAGACACAGAACAACAACAGGATGGCATCCTGCTGTAGCTACAGGCAGTGAAGCAGCAAACGTGTAAAACTAGGTGATTGATGAGTCTAGAAATTTAAAAGGATGTGCAGAAGAGTGCTGACAACTGCTAACCCCTGCCCTGGATAACATATTCAAATGCTAATGAAGGCTTTTGCTTTAACACCAAGGGATCCCGAGAGGCACAAGTGTCACTCTGCTCACATGGTGCGATTAGACACTGTGCTGCAGCTCTCTAATGAAGGGAAAACTGTAGCAGAGATGCAACACTGCTCTAGTGTTAAGGAGTTAAAAACATGAAACCAATTTAGTTGGACATAAAACCTAATCCCAGTCTATTAGGACCACAAAAGACACACACGTGTATGATTTAGAAAACTATCAGAGGCTTAGAGCTCAGTCACATCTCTTTCCTCAAAGTCTAGGATACTGTTTAAACTATATGCATACTTACATCAATCCGTTCTGGTCACAAGAGACGACAGAGATAAAAGCATCACAAACCTCCAGCTATGTCCTATTAAATTGAACAGAAACTCCCTGCAGCCGCAAACACGAAACCTCAGCCATGAACACACCAATCACATCTGAGAGCAGCTTGCACACATTTTTGTTTCTCTCCTCTTCCCTGAGCTCTGACACAACTAAGTTACAAGCACAGGTGAGTCTTTACCAAAAACCTCCTGCAGCTACATTCTACCGCTTCCTGTGCGTTTACCAATATCTTTCTTTGTAATTTATCCTTCCTGGTGCACTTTTCTTCTACACATTCATGGGATCGAAGCAAATCCCATCTGGCTTGGCAGCAATCTCTGTTGGATCTGCAGTTCTGCTACAGCCGGGGACTCCTCTGTACTAGCGAAACATCCATCCGCAGTGTAAAGTGCTGTATTAGATTTAACCCTCCAGCTGCCACTACAACGGATATTTTCAAGTCATTCGCCACATAAGCCCCTCCTCCCCAGGTGTGCTGCATTGCATGCATACATTATAGTTCACCCTCAGAAAGACATCTCACATTAGAATTAGCTCTTTGATAAACAGTTTTCAAGGAAAGAGATGAAAATTAAAGGTACATTTCTAAGAGAAAATTTCACATTAACAGGTTGCCAACACAGCATATTGAAAATGACGGTTAACAATCAAAAAAAAGAGAAGAATGGTCAGTTTCATGTCTCATCTAAAAACAAGTGCCTCTTTGTTTCACAACATACAACAGTTTCTTTCACTGATTCAAATGGCAGAAAACATCACCAATCTATCTGCTTCATTAGTTATTACAGCAGTTTAATGAGTTTCCATCTGCTGCCTATATTCTATAGCCTGAAGCATGAAAGGAATCGTAAGAGACAACGACCAATATGGTTAAAGTATGGGATAAAAATGTATCAAGAAAATTGTACTATTTTAAATGGTATATCTAAATCAGGTGTAGTTTTTTTTTCGTTGTTGTTGTTGTATGAAGAGCATTAAAAAATAGATGGTGAAAAACAATATGCTAATCTAAAATGCTAAAATATTGACATCAACAAAATTCTTCTGGTGTAAACATACCACCGATATTTACAAAAACTTCCACAAAAAACTCTGAAATTTGAAATTGAACCAGAATTGGACATAATTAGGCCCCCGTAAAAATAGGGACCCATTGGTAATGATTGAGTCATCACTATAATTTATATGGGGACATTACGTGCACAAAAACAAATTATTTCTATGTCAGCCTTTAACAACTGCATTATGTGCCAACCACACACTCAAACCCTCATGTTTACTATAAATTATCACTTACCATAAACAGGAAATACATGGTTGCCGTAAAAGTGCTGTAAAAGCTCTTTACAATGCAACTTCTGTTCCAGGTCATGTTGAGAGGACAGGTGACTTCACAGTGGTGGTACTTCATTATGATATTAACGTGACAAAATATTACTGAGCTCTTCATTTAACTGCATGGCATGATCACAAGGTTATTCACATAGAGCTCAGCAGGCCTTCAGAACAAAATTAAATTTGATCTATCTACTTAACCTCATGAACTTAAATGGCCCCTGATGCCTGTAACACAGGACTTGCAACCAATCAAATTTTGGACATTTATGGAACTGATATAAAAAATACAGTTTACCCAATCAAAT